CTCCCGCCCTCCCTCCCGAGCCGCCGCCGAGCTCCGCCCTCCGCGCCGCCCGCCGCCCGAGCCCCGCCGCCACCACCGCCGCAAGGGGGGAGGGGGCGCCGACCGGAGGGGGCGGGCGGGGCGGCCGCACTGCCCAGACCCCGGCTCCGGGGCGCGCCGCAGACCCCTCGCCACTGCGGAGCCGCCGGCCCGCCCCCGACCCCTCCCCAACCCCACCTCCAGCCCTGCCGGCTTCCCCAGAGACCCCCAGACCACGCCCCAACTGGCGTGAGGACTCGGATCTCCCTGCGGAGACCTCGGAGCGCGTCCCAATACCCCTCGGGCCGAGCCTTACCTCCTTGGAGGACCCAGACCATGTCCTACAGCCACCAGGACCACAAACCATGTCCTACTCTCCTTGGTGACCTCGGACTCTGCCCCATACTCCATCGGGGACCCCAGACCATATCCCAGCACCTAAGGGCATCCAGAGCACCCCCATCAGGGACCCTAAATCATACCAGAACATTCAGGTAGACCTCAGACCACGCCCCAGAGAGGACCCAAACCATGTATCAATAGCTAGGGAGACACCAGATCATGTCTTACTCTCTCTGGGGACCCAAATCCTATCCTACTGCTTCCCGGAGACCCCAGCCATGTCCTTCCACAAGCCATTACTTGACCCCCAATAGGGACTCCAGACCACGTCTAACTTCTAGGGGGACCCCAAAATGTCTCTTAGTCTCCCTAACTTTCCTCATTACCCCCATCAGACCCTAGATCATGCTCCCCTCTAAGGCACCCTGTGGTTTTCAGAATACCCGATTTGCCCCCAGATTCTATCCCTGCATCCTTCCTGTTCCTATTCTCTCTTTTGGACTCTGCAGACCCTTCCCCTTCCCTGTGACTTCCATGGAGACCACGATTCTTGCTCCTTCCTTGGTTAGACGCCTTTCCTGCCCAATTCCTATTCAATAGCTGACCCCTAGCCCCTCCCCCAAATCCCACTGATATCTGAGGCCACCCTCCACCTTTTTCTGAGATACTCACCAGGCCCCCAGACCCAGCAAGACCTCCCCTCTAAATCCGCCTTATTGCCATCCCCTAGCTCCCTGGCAGCCCCAACCCTTCCAATTTGGGGTCCTAATCAAGGGTCTCTGCCAAACCCCTTCTCTAAATTCTTCCTAGTCACATCATGGCACAAAGCCTGCCCGCCCCCCACGCCCAGATCAAGGGCATCTCTGCAGAGCCGCCCCTCTAGTAAACCTTGACACCACTCACAACCCTTAGATGCCGCTGAGACACACTCACGATCCCGCCCTCAGTCTTCAGATTCCAACATCACTGCCACTCTCACCACCGCCATCTCCCGCCCTGGGTCCTGGGGCTCCCTGATGGGACGTGGAGGTCCAGGGCTGGGAGCACGGAGAGAGAATAGTAACAACAGCAAAAGTGGACGCACGTCCAGCGCTACTACTGTGCGCCAGGAATGGTTCCATGTGCTTCACATACATGACTTCAGCAACTCCTCCCAGGGGCCAGATGAGGAGGCCCCATCCCATCCTGATTTTACAGAGGAGGAAAATAAAACCACGGAGAGGTTAGGTAACTTGCCTCAAGTCACACAGATAAGGGAAACGGAGGGGAGGGCAGGCCTGGGATGGACAGGAGGGGAAAAGAGAGGATAAGATAGATGGAAAATAAGAGAGACGGAGATCCTCAGAGACAGGGAAACAAAGAGCCTGAGCCCAAACAGAGAGCCCCCCTTCCCTAAAGATTGAAACTCTGGCCCCACCCACCCGTTGAGCTCTGGGTTCCCAGTCCTAACCAACCATGACCTTTCTACTTCTCCAACACATCAGCTCATCACAGCCCCTGGGGTCTTTATTTTCATTCAAGTCTTAATTCAAATGCAATCTCTTCAAAGAGGCCTTCCTTTCCCAGCCCCAGTTTACACCTGCACCCCCACCAATTGTCCTTATGTCCGCAGGTCACTCTGAAATAGGTAAAAAATAAGATGGATTGATGGGTGGGTTGATGGATGGGTACATGATAAAGCAAGCACGATGAAACGTTAATGGTAGAGTCTAGGCGGTGGGTCTATGGGCATTCACTGTAAAATTATTTTCAACTTTGCTGCCTGTGTGAAATTTTTCGTAATGAATGTTGGGAAGCGGGCCGAAGGACTCTCCTGGAGACTAGAGAGAAAGCAAAAGCATAGTCCCAACAGGTCCCCCTATTTCTAGCTATCACATCACCCCATTTTATTTCCTACATGGCACTTATCATCCTTGTTAATCATCTTGTTTGCTTGTTTGCTTCTTTATTGCATACTTATTTTATTGCCTATAGTCTAGTCATTGAAATATATGCTTCCTGAGGGGAGTGGCGTCGGCACCAATTTTCTTGTGTCCACAACAGCAATGGGCACCCGAGAGGTGCTCAGTAAACACGTGTTCTTGAGTGCCTCTTAGGAGAGGGCCTGGGAGCTAGGCCCACTCCGCAGTAGCCACACTCAGCAATAAACTCAGCCCCTGACTGCGGTCACTGGAAGGGGTGGGGGGATACCCCCAGTGGCTGGAGAATGTCCCATAAGGTCAGGGAGTATGAGTTGGCCTGAAAAGAGGGCAACAGGTAGAAGTTTCCTTCTGCGTTGATTCCTGACCCAGATTTTCTCATAGAGACCCAAAACCATTCTCACACTTCCACAGTTGGGCCCCGCCCCCAAGCCCAAGTCCACCTGGTCTCCAAGACTCCACTCAAAGCAACCCCCCGCCCCCCCAGCCCTTTCTGACCTAAGGATGCCCATCAGGCCTAGTCCACCCGCCAACCCCCCACGCTTAGCCCCTGCACTCCCCCCTGCACCTTAAACTCTACCCCAAAAGCATCTAGCTTTCAGTCTAGGCACTGGCCCGTTTTGCCTCGTTCAGATCCTCCATTCTCAGTTCCGCCCTAATCCCGTTTCTTCCTCTCCAACAGAAGCCCTACTTTCCTCGAAGGTTAGCAAGGAGCGCTCCCAGGGAAAGCCTAGAGCTTGGATTTAAAAATATGGAGCCTGGATCTGCAGAAGCGCAGGTAAAGGTTGGTGGAAAGACAGAAGGTGGTCCCCAGTATGTTTGGGGGCCCCTTGAAGGAGTGGCCCCAAACCTAGAGCCAAGCCCCATTGTGCTGATTATCCATTGGATAGTGTATTCTGTTCTGGCCTCTCTGATTGGTCCCCCCACAATCCCTCTAGCCAAACCTACACTCTGCATTGGACAGTCCTTAGAGCCACCGTCTCTGATTGGTCCTTGCTTTCCAAACTCCCTGCTTCTGATTGGGCAACTCCTCGTACATGCCTCTTTCTGATTGGATTGTCTGCAATCATGAGCCTGGATGCTGACAGAAGTTCAACTACGTGGGAAGGAGGAGGAGATGATTCCCTAAATACCCTGCCTGAGAGGCAGAGTGGCCATTGACCACCAGATAGCTTTGAGTTGAAGTTTTAACTGTACAAACCACTAGCAGCGGGGTTTCAGGCAATTATGTTTGGCTTCTGTGCCTCAGTTTACTCATCTGTAAATTGGGGATAATAAGGATGCCAGCTTCACAGGGTTTTGTCAGGATTAAATGTCAATACCTGTAAAGCGCTTATGGAAGTACCTGGCACATAGGAAGCCCTCGATCAGAGCGTTAACTATTATTAATTTGATCATGTAACTGCATGACCTTGGACGAGTCGTTTTGCCTCTCTGACCTCTGCAGGACGGCAGTTGTTTGACCTCTTAGTTGAAAGACCCCCTCCTACCCCCAGCCCTCTTCTTCCATCTCTGGCCATCAGAGACTGAGGTTGTGATCAGAGGGAGAAGCAGAGATGGGCCTGGCCAGAGATGGGGTGGAGAGGGCACCAGGCCGGGTGTCAGAGAGGAGCTCAAATCCGCCCCTCCCCCAACTGCTGGCGGTGGGGCGGGGCGCGACTTATCTGTGCAAAGAGCTTGTCCAGACTGGAAACAAGGGGGGACAAGGGTTGAGCTGAGCGGAGTGGTGAGGAGGGTGGTGTTCTGGCGGGGAGGGCTGGGGAGGGCTTGGAGCTGAGCTTGTGGACCCTCCCCCAGGAATGACAGGGCTGGGGGAGGGGCTGCCCAAACCCAAGGTCATTGTGTCACTGTTTCCATGGCAACGAACACCTCTCATCAGGGAACCTGGAAAGGGGTGTTGGGGGGGGAGCTCCCAGGTCCCTGGATCTGGGGACGGAGAGAGGAACAGAGACCTGAGGAGAAGCAAAGAGAAAGGGTGATTTATCTCTGTGAAGACCTGCCCACCTCAGAACTCTCAGAGCCTGGTACACTGTGGGTGCTCAATAAATGTCTCTCAAGAGATAAAGACAGAGAGCCTGAAAGAGTCAAAGGCTCAGAGATGCCAGAAGAAAGAAAGAAGAATCCCCAGACTAGGACGGGTAGGGTGTCCCTTTCCTGCCCTTCAACCTCATACTCCTCAGGGATCCACTGAGAGTTCAGGATCCTCTTCCCTTTCCCAGTCTGGGGCCCTCAGGCCTACCTAACCACACAAACCACCCACCCCAGCAACTCCCTTGAAGCAATTTTATCTGCTCCTTCAACAACTTTTCTGCCTTTAAATTCTTCCTGCCTGGGAGCACTGAGGAAAGTAGCATTCAGTGCAAGCTAATGCCTGATAGCTCTTGGGGGGGTGGGGGGGAGTGGGAAGGAGGAGGGGAAACCCGGCACTTGCTCTCAGGAATCCAGGTGTCCTTATTCCCCCTTGGGAGTGTCCCCTCCTGGATTCAAGTATTTTCCAATTCCTCCAGGAAACCTAGCCCCCTTCCACCCACCCACACACCCACACACCCTAGAAAACCCTACAGGCCCCTCCCTTCCTTTCTGAGAAATAGGTATCCTCTTTTCCTTCTGGGACTCAACGGGCATCCACTTGGTCTGCCTGCCCTCTGCTGGCCGAAGGCCGGTACTGCAGGGACTGTCGCCTAGGGCCCGCAAGGAGAAACAGAAACTGAGAGCAGAGGATCTCGGAGTTCTTGCATTTTAATTTCTTCAGGGTCTCAGATGTTCAGGTCCTTAGTGGTCCGAGTCCGCAGTTTCTTCAGGGATTCCGACATCAGGAATTCAGGTCCCCAGCCCAGAGGTCAACGAAAGAAAGACAACTTCTCTCGGAGCCAGGCCTCGGTGAGGTCCTCAGTGGTCCGGATTTCAAACACCTGGGCGGGGAGCGGTCTCAGCGCTCAGATCCATGCAGGAACTGGGAGGGCGAGCACGCTGGCCCCTTCCTCCCTTAGACTAGGAGTCGCGACCCTCAGCCCATCCTCCCTCAGCCCAGGAAGCCCAGACCCTCACCCCCCTCCTCCCTAAGAGTGGGGGAGCCTCAGCCCCAGGCCCAGACCTTCGTGAGCTCTGCAGTCTGCACCAATCTGTTTTTACTCCCCGCATACATCATCTGTTGTTCAGGCTTGCAGCCTGCGTGGAAAAAAGGAGAAGGGAGCATAACTGGGGGACCCTGGTTATCACTAAGGCCCTAGCAACGTCATGCAGGCCCTGAAGTTTCTCTTAGGGTCCTAGGAGTTATTCCAAGGTAGTCTCTCGAAGCTCTATTCAGAGTTTGGGGACTTGTTTGGGGGCTTGTTATTCTGAGGGTTCCTGGAGATGGTGTAGAGGCCAGATGGGGCTTCTAAGGAAGAGGCTAACTCGCTTACACACCTTGAGACTGAGGAGGATGGGTGGATTCTTAAGGTATCTGAGCACCCCCTCCCCACGCCGCTGTGCTCCCAACACTCACCACACACACACACACACACACACACACACACACACACATACACCCCACATGTGCCACACACTCCTGTACTCACCAAGTCACGAACACACACAGTGCCCGGTCACACACACCTGCACCCCCATACACACACTCACACGCCGCCCACACAGCATCTAAGCCCCCTTATCGGGACAGGTATGGGCTGTGTCTCACCCACGGGGCTGGAGAAGATGAAACACAGGGGGTAGGACACCCGGCCGTCCTCATGCACGTACTTGTAGCTGTAAACCACGAACCTACACCCACGAAAGGGAATTCAAATTCAACATTTCAGCCTGGGGCCCAGGCCCAGTGCCCATTGCCAGAGCCCACAATCTTGACATCTTGCCTGAGTCTGAGAGCTTAGGATTGACAAATGAGACCCAGGATACTGGTCTTGAATGCAAAACAATTAAAGTAATAATGGGGGGGGGGCGCCTGGGTGTTTCAGTCGGTTAAGCGTCCAACTTCGGCTCAGGTCATGATCTCACGGTTCGTGGGTTCGAGCCCCACATCGGGCTCTGTGCTGACAGCCAGCTCAGAGCCTGAAGCCTGTTTCAGATTCTGTGTGTGTGTCTCTCTCTGACCCTGCCCTGCTCACACTCTCTCTTTCTCTCTTTCTCATAAATAAATAAAAAACATTAAAATTTTTTTAAAAAATAATGGGGGTGCTTGTTTGATTCACAATAACCCTATGACATAAATGCTATTATCCCCATAATATAGATGGGAAAACTGAGGCCCAGAGAGGTAAAGTCACTTACCCAAGGTTCTGTGGATAGAGGACAGACGTGAGCCCAGGAAATTCAGTGCCGGAGTGTAAGCACTCAAGCACTATGCAGTACTGTCCAGAGCTCTAGATCTCTGGCCTAATTTGGCAAGCCCAGTGCAAAATGAACACATGAGGCCTATTGTTCCCAAGGCAGGAGAAAGGCTGTTCCCTTTCTTCTGCAGTCTCTCCAGACTGATTGTGTCTTGTTTTTTTAGTTTATTTTTGAGACAGACAGACAGACAGACAGAGACAGTGTGTGAATGGGGAAGAGGCAGAGAGAAAAGGAGACACAGAATGCTGAAGTAGGCTCCGAGCCGTCAACACAGAGCCCTATGCAGGACTCGAACCCACAAATTGGGAGATCATGACCTGAGCTGAAGTCGGACGCTTAACAGACTGAGCCACCCAGGTGCTCCCTGATTATAGTCTTTTTAAGTTTGTTACATAAAGTCGGGCTCAGGCATGCGCACACACTCAGGGAAAGTACAGATGCTTGCAGATAAACCCTGGAACTTGTGCAGGGGGTGTGTGCCAACCTTGACCCTGACTCTGACCCTCCCCCCATGTGCACTCAGGCCTCCTGCCTGGGAGGGAGGGCAGGAGCACTCACTGGGTGGGGCAGTGACCAGCGGAGAAGCTGTCAGGGGCTGGAGGAGGGACCATGTGTGAGCGAAGGCCACTCCATGCCTGCAGCACATTCTCTACTATCTTATCAGACCCTTACAACAGACACAAATCCAAAGATAAAACTATAAAAAATTTCCAAATGGCAGGCAGCCGCAGAGCAGTAAGCCCTGTGTTCGAGGGGCACCTGGTTGGCTGAGGCGGTTAAACATCCAACTCTTGATCTCGGCTCAGGTCATGATCTCACTGTTCGTGAGTTTGAGCCCCACATTGGGCTCTGCATTCTCTCTCTCCCCCTTTCTCTCTGTCCCTTTCCTGCTCAGGCTCGCTCACTCGCTCTCACTCGCTCTCTCTCTCTCTCTAGGTAAATAAACTTAAAAAAAAAAAAAAGCCCTGTGTTCGAGGCTTCCCTTCTGTGCATGATGCCCAGTGGGACTCCACCTGTCAGATACCTGGGGAGCTGATTCTGGCTGAGATCTAGAGCCTGAGATTGAGGGTTGAAATCTTGGGGCACCCAAAATTCACCCCAGGGGAGATGAAAAGTCTAAACAGACTAGATTTCAGAGAAGGGTCAAAGAGCATCCTATATACGAAAAGCACCAGACTCATGTGGCTTCGCACAGGATTCTCCCCAATCGTTAAAGGTCAAATAACTTCTCTGTCTCCTCCCCAAGTATTCTCGTGCATTGAAAAAGGAAATTTTTTTTTTCATTTTTTGTTTAAAATAGTGCAATCAGGAGACCAAAATCTAACAAAGTTTGTACCAAAAAAAGAAAAAAAAATCAAACTCTAATGTGACTGTCAGTATAAAATTCTGCAATAAAATAATTAATATGCAAAACAAAAGGTTGTAGGGTGTGAATTCGTGGCCTTAAGCACGGATCAGAGCCCGTGGTTAAGACCGGAATCCGAGGGGCCCCTCTGTTCCTTCATCATCACCCCTCTCCTCCTGGCCTGACCCTCCCCTCCCTTCCCCCACAATACCTCGGCTGTCTCTCAGGCAGCTCTGTTTTTAGTTCCTCTGGAGAAATGTTCTGAGGGGGGAGAAAAGACTGACATTAAATAGGCACTTCCTGCTTGCCGGGACACTGGTCTAAGAAACACACACAGATCAACTCGTTGACCTCTCCCACAATTCTGTGGGGCAGGTCTATCATTACCCCCACTTTACAGGTAAGCAAACTGAGGCCCAGAGTTGTTAAGACGCTTGTTCAAGGTGGCAGAGAGCGAGCAGCAGGATTCAGATTTGAACCTGGGTTCAAATCGTAACCATTTTGCCGCACTGCCTTACTCTGAAGTAAGCTTTATTATCATCCCCGTGTTACTGATAGAGATAGCGAGGCAAGAAAGGGTGAGGTCTACCCTTTTACGGGATTTCCGCTAGCCTTTTGTTGAGTTATCTGGAAACTTTCACTTAAGTGCCAATAAACTATCATCGCCATCGTCTTCATCATTTTCCCGAGTGTAGTCTATGTGCGAAGCCTTCTTCTAAACCCATTGCAAGGATTAAATAGCTGAATCCATAGATAACCCGAAGAGGAAGGTACTGGTACGCCCATTTCACAGATGAGGAAACAGACCCAGACAGGTGAAATCTCTTGCCTAGAGTTGCAACTGAGCTGGAACTTGACCTCCAGGCCTTTCTGGGCCCCAGTGTCAAGCTCTTAGCCTGGCTCTCCCAGTCCCACCCAGCACTTCTTAGGGGTCCCATCCATCCAAGCCCCTCACCTGAAACTCTTCCTCCAGCACCACCATCTGCCGGTCTTTGTCCACCTTCACTGGGGAGGGATGACACACAGGGGTCAGACGCCCCTTCCATCCACCCGTGACACTGAGCCCCGACTTCCTTGTTTGCCCTCACCCTCTTCGTCCACCCTTCCAGGGAAGAAGATGACACTCACTTATGATGGCCGCATTGTCCGTCTCTTTTCGGAAGCGAAATTTCCTCAGCTTTTCCTTTAGCTCTGGATCCACCTCGCACACCACCAGGGAGTCCGACTGCCAGAGGAGCCCAGAAAGAACTGAGCTGGCCTGGACCCAGCCCCACCCCCTTCCCCAACCCAACCTGTTTCTCTACCTACTAGTAAAGAGGCAGGCCCTGACAGAGCATAGGATGCTTCTAGGAACATTAGGGAAAAGTGCCCTTTCCTCAGGGCAGATGCTGCCCCTTCCCAGTGCCCACACTTGGGGCACAGAGCAGAGGCTGGACTCCAGTCCTCTCGGCAGGTACCCTTGGGGAACGCTCAAGGAGGCCCAGGGATCTGCCTGCCTGGGGCTAAACCCGGATCCAGCATCTCTGTTCCCCCCAGCCAGGCCCTTTGCCGCAGTGGGGTCACCCTCCTGGCACCTGACCTCTATCCCACAGCCTGACCTTCACCCAGGCACTCTCCCAGGCCCAGCCCCACCCTAGCCCCCAGCACTCCCCCATACAACCCCTGGCCCCCTGACCATGACTCTTCTGTCTGAAGGCCTCTTCTTTTTTCAGTTCCGCTGTCTTCTAGGGGTGGGGACCAAGGCTTTAGGGGGCGGGGTGTGGGGCAGGGGAAAGGTTTCATCCAACACCACATCCTGTTTATGCCCATTCGGGGACAACTGTCTCAGATGGCTCCTCCCCTTCCTTCCTTCCCCTCATCTGCCGGGACCTCCCAGGCTTTGCAATCACCTAGACCTGGGTTCAAATGCTGCCTTGCTGTGTGATCCGAGCTAAATAACTTTGCCACTCTGATTCAGGATTCTTGTGAGGAGAAAATAGCTTCACATACTTCCTGGTACGGTGGGCATACTCAATGCAGAGTAGATAACGACGAGCTCCTTAACTCCTCCCCTCCTCCAGGAAGCTTTCCTGGGTTTCCCCCATCTGGAATATTTTAATTCCAGAGCAGAAAAGGGGGAACTTAGGGATGTTTGCTCGTCAAACTGTCACCTGTTGTGCTAATGGGGAAATGGAGACTCCACAGAGCCCAGGTAATGGCGAACTTTTTGCCTGCCATTCAACCTCAGGGGCCTAATAATGGGCCCTGCAGCAATGGTGTTCCATTCTGTCAGACTGGTACCCCCTTTTCATTAAGTGCATTTTGTGCTGCCCCTTTCCCACTCTGAAATGAAATTCCTGGGTAATGTAACCTACTTGTATACATAAATTCCTCCCTCCTGTCCCCCCCCCACAATCAATAGAATATCTTGTCATACAAAGGAGAAATAAAAAGGAAGTAATGTATGGGAAAACTCCATGTTATTTCAGTGAGAAAATGTAAGCAAACCAAAGAGTCTCTTCACAGGGGCACCTGGGTGGTTCAGTCGGTTAGGCGTTGGACTCTTAGTTTCATCTCAGGTCATGATCTCACGGTTCGTGGGTTCGAGCCCCGTATCGGGCTCAGTGCTGACAGCACTTAGCCTGCTTGAGATTCTGTCTCCGCCCTCTCCCCCCACTTGCTGTCTCTCACAAAAATGAATAAATAAACATTTTATAAAAAGAATCTTCATAGGTCCCAGCTCCACATTGGCTGGCCCGCTGTGCTGGCCCCATCCGCTGCGGTGGACAAGCCTTCCTCAATCCCCTCCATGGGCACTGGATCCCACCCTGTCCCATCTGCTTATGGGTCTCACCACGGCCACCCTCCCTCTCCCTGCATCACCAATGTTCCCACCCCCACTGGATCTTCCCTTTCAGCCTACATGTGGGGTTAGGTCTTCCCTTTTCAACACTAAGAATCCTATCTCCCATCCAGCCACTCACTGCCCATTCATTTCCTTCCTTTGTCAGCAAAACTTCTCGAAGGAATCGTCTACGCTCACCGCCTGCAATTTCTCCTCCCAATTTTCTCTTCAAGTCTCTCCTAGCAGGCTTCTCACTGCTCTCCCTGTCCCCTGACATACTCTTGGCAGGGCCACCAATGACCTAATGGTCAATTCTCGGTCTTCGTCTGTCATGCACTGTCAGCTGCATGTGACACCGTCCATCACTCTCTGTGCCCTGATACACTTTCCTCACTTGGCCTGGTTTTCCTCCGGGTCCTCTGGCTGCTCCTTCTTGGGCTCTCCTGCTGATTCTTCCTTTTGCTAGGGGCGTGTTCTGGGCTCTCAGTCCTTTGAGCCTTTCTCCTTTCCATCTACCTTCCTCTCCTCCTGATCTCACCCAGTTTCCTAGCTTTCAAACGGGAGACCCTAAGTATTTCTCCAGGCTGTGCCTCTCCCTGAACTCGAGATTCCTGCATCCAGCTGCCCAGCTGACGTGTCCGCCTGGATCTCCGTCATCTTTCACCCAGTTCATCGTACATCAGAACTTCTCGGGTTCTGAAATTCAAAGTGTAACCAGAACCTGCCCACTTGTCCCCGCCACGGCCCATACCCTGGTCCTGCCCACCTTCATCTCCTGCTGGAACTCTCCCAGCAGCCTCCTCACTGTCTCCCTGCTTCCCCCCACCCAGTCTACTCTTCTAGAGTACTCTCTAGGATTGCTAGAGGGATCCTAATAAAACCCAAGGCATACGCGACACACTTCCTCTCTCAAAACCCGCCTATGGTTGGTTCCGTATTATTTGGGTAAAAGCTAAAGTCCTTACGGTGGCCTTTAATCGGCCACCACCCCTCTTCCATTACCACTTGGACCCTGTCTTCCATTACCTTCCTCTTTGCTCACTCCACTCCAGCCCTGGTAGCCTCTTTGTGGTTCTGTGGATAATCCTCCCACCAGACCTTTGCATTTGCTGTTCCCTCTCTCTGGAACCCTCTTCCCCTTATGGTTTACCCTTTCATTTCCTTTTTTTTTTTTAATGTTTACTTATTTTTTTATTAAAAATTATTTAATGTTCATTTATTTTTGAGAGAGGGAGAGACACAGTGTGAGCAGGGGAGGGGCAGAGAGAGAGGGAGACACAGAATCCAAAGCTAGCTCCAGGCTCTGAGCTGTCAGCACAGAGCCTGACGCGGGGCTTGAACTCACGAACTGGGAGATCATGACCTGAGCTGAAGTCAGACGTTTAACTGACTAAGCCACCTAGGCGCCCCTACTTATTTATTTTTGAAAGAGAGAGAGCAGGGAAGGGCAGAGAGAGAATCCCAAGCAGGCTCCACGCTGTCAGTGCAGAGCCCAACCCGGGGCTCGAACCCACGAACCATGAGATCATGACCCATGCCAAAATCAAGAGTCAGATGCTGGGGTGCCTGGGTGGCTCAGTCAGTTAAGCATCTGGCTTTGGCTCAGGTCATGATCTCACAGTTCATGGGTTTGAGCCCCACATCAGGCTCTGTGCTGACAGCTCAGAGCCTGGAACCTGCTTCAGATTCTGTGTCTCCTTCTCTCTCTCTATCCCTCCCCTGCTCGCACTCTGTCTCTCTATCAAAAATAAATAAACATTAAAAAAAAAAAAAGTCAGACGCTTAACCTACTGAGCCACCTGGGCTCATTTCCTTCAGATATCTGTTCAAATCTCACCTGATCCAAGAGGCTTACCCCCATCTAAAATAGTGCTGACCTCATCACTCCATCTCCTCAGCTTGGTTTATTTTTCTCTATAGAACTACCACCAAGTCACATTATATTTATTTATTGTTTGTGTCCCCTCAACCAGAACATAAACTTCTGGCAGAGATATTTGTATGCTTTGTTCCACTGTTGAATTTCTAGACCTTTAGCAGCACCTGACACATATTAGGTACCTAAGTATTGTTGAATGAATAAATGAATCTTTGTGTATCTTTCAAGCACAACTACTCTATGAGGCGTGAACATTTTTGCTTAAACGTAGGTTGTAGTGGATGGGGTCTGTGATATCCCCCACCCTGGTGTGAAACGACATTTCCTCACGTCGTCCTTTCTGTCTGGCTGCTCCTTTTCAATCTTTGAGACTGTCGATTCCTTTGCTCAAACTTAAGTGTCCTCTTCTGTTGGGTTCTGTCGGATCCTGGTCTCCATTCACCCTCATACCCTCCCCAGGCTAAATCGCTAACACCCACACTTCAGTTCCCACCTCTGATCATCCTCAAAGTTTGGTTCCCAGCCCCAGTTTCTCTCTTAAGCTCCAGAGCCCAGAGCTGTGCAGCCTCCTGGCCCCCGCTGCTGGGTGGCGTGCACTGAGTTCAGAATCTTCCAGACCTGCTTCTGGGAGGCACCACCAACCCCCAATTTCCCAGCCAGGGACCTTTCCTTGGATTTCACCCTCTCTCCTCATCTGCAGCCAGCCAGCCAGTCCCTGGGCAGGTCCCCTCGGCCTCCTGGGCGTCGCCCCCACCCCCACCCTTTCCCACAGTCCCGCCCTGGTGCAAACGCTCCAGTCCCACCCCAACTGCCTCCCTGGACAGAAGGCTCCCAGTTTTGTTTCCTCCAATCCATGCTCCGAGTAAAGCCAGAGCCATCTTTCCAAACCCGCAACTCACCATGCCTCTCCCTCGCTCGAGGCCCTTCCATGGCTCCCTAGTGTCCTCAAGACAAGCCCAAACTGCCTCAAGTGGCCAAACACCTGGCCACAGCTCATTTCCCACCACCCCTGGCCTGGGGCTCTACACTCCGTCCACCCCGACCGCATTTTCCTCTAACAAGCCACTTCTCTGTAGCCTCCTGGGCGAGGCCCCCCGCTCCGCTTAGTCACCGGATCCAGGCAAGTCTGTGGACTGAACAGATTACAAGAGTCAAGGCAACAACTCCCGTTTGTTGACGGCCTCCATTGTGTCAAGCGCTTTCTGCGCCTCGTCTCTTTCAAACCTAGTCCCAACTGAAAGACGAAGCAACAGGCTCCGAGAGGGCTGCGGTGGTAAAGCGGGGACTCCAAGAACCCTGAGCGCCGACTCGTCACCTGGCGGCTCCGGCCTCGGGCCGGGCGTGCAGGCGCTGTGGGGAGGCCCGGCCGAACCCCAGATTCAGGAATTGTGACCGAGCCCGCGGCAGCTGAGGTGGACGGGCGCGAGACTGCCCCCTGCGGGCCGGGAGGCCCAATCCCCGGGCTCCGCCGCGCCCGTTGCCCGTGGCAACGCGGCGCACGCCCCGCCCCCGCCCCGCCCGCGGGCCCCGAAGCCCCGGCGGGGCCGCCTGCCCGTCAGCCCTGAGGCCAGCCAATCCCGCCTCGCAGGGGGCGGGCCTCTTGGGCCTCGCTCAACCCCCGGCGCTCCCCTCTGCGCCCGGACCCCGCCTTTCTCCGCGCACACCTCCCGCCCTTCGGGCTGCCCTCGCCGCCCGTTGGCGGGCGCGCCGTTCGTCACCGCGGCGGGAGCTAATGCCGGCGCGCGGCGGCCCCGGCGGGGCGTGGCCAGGGGCGGTGACGCACGGCGCGGTGACGCAGCGCGACGGCGGCGGCGGCGGCGGCGGTGGTCGGTGAGGGAGGAGGGAGGGGAGCTCGCGGGCCTGAGAGGGGGCGACGGCGGCGGCGGGGGCCCGAGGAGGCCCGAGCGGCGGCGGCGGCGGCTGAGGCCGAGGCGGTGAGTCGCGGGGCAGGGCCGGGCGGCGGCGGCGGGGCGGCGCCGGGTCGGGGCGCGCGGGGCTCACCTCGGGGCGCCCCAGGCCGCGCGGGCGACCCCGCCCCCTCAGGGACCCCGAGCCGCGGGGCGGC